CCGATTTAAGGCGGCAACCCCCAGGCCGATTCGACGATATCGCATACACGCAATTGGAGTCCATCGACCCAAATCGGCATCGTAACTGACAAAGCCAGAGACAAGATAGGCAAAACAAAAAAAGCAGATAGGTATAGAAAAACATAGGTTAATTTAAAAGGTGTATAGGAAATATGAAAACTGACAGAATGGTCATGGGCTTACAATGAATGAAATCGAATGACAGGGTACGAGACAGACAGAACAATTAGGGACGGAATGAGAATGAACGAAGGACGGGCATAACTATGCACATACGCATTATCGATCGCTGCTAGTGAATCCTTGGGTTAAAAAACACCCAACAATCATGAAAAGGGGACCAAGTTAATCTGGTCGGGAAAAAAAGCAAGGAACTTAAATAGATAGTGAACCGAATCGCAGGGTCATAGAGAGTTGGCAAATATGAGGTACGAATGTGAGTGAGATCTGATGTAAACAGTCTCGATCAATAAACAACTTGTCGGGGAAAGCTTTTTTTCTCAACAGCGGTAATTCAACATCAGTCAGATCGATCGCGCGAACTAAGTGGCACGCCGTAGCCAGCTGTGTGTGTACCAGGCAAAACGAAAGACCCATTGTGTCCTGTGTAACGTGCATTGTATGCTACACATTTCACTGCTGATTGACCAACCAACAGACGGACGAATAAATCGAACGAATACAGAGTGGGAGTAATATGCTCCCGACATAACAGTGTGTAACAGTACACATGTGCATGTCTTATAATCAACAAGGATCATCCGTAGGCGTTGTCTGGGGCGGATTAGTCGCATATTTTTTTCTGGCATTCCTGAAGCACATCGCAAATGCTGATGACAGATCAAGTGACAGACACAATAACTAAAAATAGATCCAGACTGACAATCATTTAATGAAATGGAGTTTAAAAATCGTCAAGGATTAGAAACCACTTGATTGGAGGAAGTCTAAGGAGAGCCTTTAGGGTGTGTGTGTGTGGTGCAAGCGGAAATATTTAGATGCCGAATTTGATCAGAAAAGAAATAGCTAGAGACAAAGAACGTCAGAACGGAACAGATGCAAAAAGGACGTGCATCACACACACACACATGAGATCGACCACGACCTAATGAACAAATAAGTCTCGTGACCCTGGGGAAGCAAGACAGCCACGACAACAACAACCAATAGACGACAAAAACAATAACAATCCGACCGAGTGAAGGGCGTATGGGCGGACCATCCGTATCGAAAATACACGATGCAGACGGGCAATCCACCGGTTGCAGAGGGAGACACACGGACGCATTCAGTTCAGTTTTAGCTTGTACAACCATGAACCATGCAATTTCGTGCGTCGTTTATGGTTTCTATCTTTTGGCTGTTGCTCATTTGGATGAAGCAGTAAGAG